CAAGAAGTTCATCAGTGACATGTGGTTTTAGCTTGTTAATATCATCAAGGACCACAGCAGCTTATAGTTTGTTGGACTGAGTTGTCAGGGAATGTGATAAGGACAAAAGCCACATCCAATTTTTGTACTCGAATATTCATTCCTCTATTGCTTTATTATAGCACATCATCTGCCACGTGGTGACTTTCTGTAGATGTTGACATTCATATTGATCTGTATCAACTAACACAGACTTTAACCACTGCACATCTTCTTGCAGATACTATAGCGCATTTTTTCTATGTGCGGATCGTACGTCATGTTCACAGGAAGATGTGATTCCTGGCCAAACATGAGCATGTCTGATTTTTGTTTAGTGATACCCTGTCATGATGTATGGTATTTGTTCCAGTTTATTCTGTTATGACTTATCAATTTTCCAAGCATGCACTTTATAACTGACTTTTTAAATATGTTCCTTAGTTTTTGTGAATTTATGAAGAAGCTCTGCATTGTAGATCTCTCTCAGTGGGAGCTTCAATAAGACAATCCAAATATTACATATTAAACAGACCAAATGGCGTGATACAATTTTCTTACAGAATCCCACAAGTGCTGAAAGCCTGTTGTATGAGTTTTATTAAAACGTCTGTAAATCTCCTACAAACCCATGCAATAGGTCACGTAGTTTGAATGATTCAAATTCCTATTTTGTTCGTTGTAACTTTAAGGGAAACTGACTACAAGTCACATACAGTACTTGTGTTTCCAGATATGCAAACTTCTCATGAACCGCTAGCATAAAACAAGTTTTTATATTAAGAAATAATATGTCCAATATGTTTGATAATAATAATATTATTATTTTTTATTCGGAAGAAATGATACTAATCAAATTATATTGTCTAAAAAGATTGCTACCTTTAGCCTTTCCATAACTGCTTAGTTTTACATTTCAGTCAGCTAAATATACCAAGTTTTTTTTTACTGTTCGTATACTTTACAATAGGTTGTGTAATTGCTACACAGTCTAGTTTTTCTAGTATATTTCTATTAAAGTTCTAAAGGTGCCAACTACAAGGAAAGCCACTACGAAATTTAAGACTCTCACCTCCTAAGAGAAAAGTATTTAATGTATTTTTTTATGTTTCTCTTTAATGTTTTATTTGTGATATAAACACTTTGCTCAAAGTATACGTAGGCAATATACTATTAGTGTTAACTTCAGGAACGCAGACTTCAAGCGCGCCATTGTACAGAGATACTAAAGTCTCATTTTTTTAGGATGTCCATTTGATAAGATATCGTCAATGCTGAGTTTCATAACGATCTAAAGTAAAGACCTGCTTCATTTCAGTCTATTATAACCCTGTCATTGCTAGGTGGATTTTAAGGGAATTTACTTGCAAATTTACTGGTCGATATTCTTCGCCTCAAGAGAAACCACAGTCAGGAAAGAATTACACAACTCATAAGATTGGTAACAGATGTGGCACGTTCTTCCCACAGATACAGCTTCTTAACATGGTATGTTATTTTGACTGGCTTTCTGTCATCAATATTTCAAGTTCGGTAGTGTAATATACCTGTATCTCGAACATGAAATTACACGAAAACTCTGTGTAAAGTAAAGGTGTTTTCAGTTACACATTAAAAATGACTGACAAAGCTAAAATATTTTGAAATACTACATTTGAACCACACCGATTTCCGAGTTAGAAGAGGTATCCATGAACAAAATTAAATCTTACTTTTGTACATGTTGAAACCATATTCTTTTCATTAATACTTACATCTGTGTAAGCAATTCTAAAAGTCCTATAAGCTAAACATTGTAAAAAAGCGTGAAAAAAGGGAAAATGTAAGTAATTTCAATATATTTCTAGTTTTGAGTAGACATTTAAGTATGCCATTAAAACAATCGTTTTGTCTGTTGCTTTGTCAATGTTATTCAATATATAGAAATATCTTTTGATTCATTACATATCGTATATACTCTTCCCCTAAAAACTGGACATCTGATCAATAAAATTGCTGTATAAAATATCAGCAAGATTCTACGAGTTTTTTGGCTTCTTTGAATTCTAAAACTAGCAATATGATAAACTACAGCGTTCGTCTACACAAGGAGCAGGTCAAAGACCACTATGGTTCAAGCAGATTGTTATACCTGGCCCTTAACCGAACAGCAGGGATTAACTGTCACTCTAGTAACGCACCCATGGCTGAAGTGCGTAGCGTTTTTAGTAGCATCATGTCCATAGCCTTAGACTCTCAATCCGACCATTACAACGCAATCAGGCCTAACTGTAGTGCAATGTATATAATTGCAAAAATATATGTGAATTTTTTTTGCAGATCTTATAAAAACAAAATACCTTTTATGTTCACTATTTAAATACTAGACAAACAATATTTCATACTTAAAATTCGTTATATACTTACTAATAGGCAATAATAATAAGCAAGCATAACCTTACTTGATCAATAAAACTTTAACAAAAGTTCCTGGGTTCTCAAACGTTGAAGCTCATCCAACTTACTTCTTAGTCTCTGTATTTCAATACAACGTGGATTAATTTCTGTGCTTCCGGTGGCATATTCAGTATGTAAAATACAAAATGTTTATTATTAACTGTTACCTGATTCTGGTATCAATACTTAACCGAGGAGAATTGAACGTCACGCGAATAAAATACTACACTGTACTATTAAACCTTGGAGAATTCAACGTCATTAAACTAGGGTACTAGTACCGAATCTGGGATTATTCAATGTCATATGAGTCGTGTTGAACCTAGAAGTACTCAACATCATATAGCTTTGGTTCTAGTATTGCACAATGGAGTATTCAACATCACCTGACGTAAACTGTCAGTAATAACATAGAAAACATCATTATAAGATATGTGATATGTGTAGTAAACTGTCAGTGATAACATAGAAAACATCATTATAAGATATGTGATATGTGTAGTAAACTGTCAGTGATAACATAGAAAACATCATTATAAGATATGTGATATGTGTAGTAA